GGGCTTTATATTCTGTTTAATATGTCTATTTGTGAGGCAGTTTTAACTATTAAGACTTTAAAATATTTTACATATTGTGGCACCTGGCTGCCTTAGTTGGTTAAGTGTCTGCCTTTGGCTCAGGTCATGATCCCAGAGTCCCATGATCAAGCCCTTTATCGAGTTCTCTGCTCAGCAGGGAGTCTGCTTCTCCCTCTGCCCCTTACCCCGCTCTCCTGCTCTCTCTTGCTTTCTCTCTAATAAAATCTTTTTTAAAAAATCTTTAAAAAAATGAAATAAAATATTACATATTTCTGCTCTTATTTTTCAGCATTTTCCTGGTTTATTTTTCCATAAAAACTAGAGAATCCATTTATCTAGTTTCTTCAAAAAAAAAAAAACCACTTGGTATTTTTATTAGGATCACCTTAAGCTGACAAATTATTTAGAGAAAATGGACAGATTTACTTAGATTAGTATTCCTACTTAACAAACATGGTTTCCATTTGTCTAAAATTTTTGTGTTCCTCAGAAGTGCTTTCAAGTCTTCTTCAAATAGGTTTTGCACATTTCTTAGGTTATTCCTGGGTCATTTTATCTTTCTCTTGCTATTATAAATGGTGTCTTTCCTTTCATTGTTAACATCTAATTGGTTCTTGTTTCCATTACATTTTAATTTTGATTTGGGGCAAGTTTTTAGCCTCTTGAAGTTTTACTTTCCTCACCAGCAAGATTGAGCCAATATGTACTTTGCAGGGTGGTTTTATGATTCCAGGATAATGTATAAAGGATTTAGCTCAGTGCCTGGCACATAATGGTGGTTACCATTATTATTTTTAAATATCAGTGTCCCAGTATCTAAATAATATATTCCAAATATTATTTCTTGTTAAACTTCTCTCCAGTTATGAGGTTTGTATCTTTCTTCTCCCTTTACATTGTAATACCAACTTCTAATGTGTTCCCTTTCCTCCGTATTTCCAGTTGCAGAGGCTTACTCAACTCCCCAAACCAGTGTAGAAGTAGAGCTATGTTCAGACAGATGTAACACCAATCTGTCAGGCTTTTATGTAACTACTCTCCAGAAGATAAGTTTAGGTCCATTACATCCATTTCTGTTAGAATGCCTAGTTACGAAATCTATAGGTAAGCAATACCTGGATCCAAAATCATAAAGCATACATGCACTAATTAATAAATACTTGGGACCAACTGTGGAAAGCAATCTAAGCTCTACTTTACTTTCATCATGCCACACTCAAAAAAAACAAAAACAAAAACAAAAACACAAGCTTCTTCAAAACAAGGTAAAGCAGCTAAACTTTCCTGCAATTGTTTTTAGATGCTCCTAATTCTGCTCCTCTTATAGCCTTATGCTGTTCCTTCCCCATTCCCATTTCCCTTTCATAGAAACAACAGCATATCTGAGGACACATTTCCTAGGGGCTCTTGCCTACATGCCAACACATACACAATATATAGTAACAATTATTTCAGCTCTCAGTGGAATCAAAAGTAACTTCTAGTGATTGCATCTTGTGACTTCAAAAACTTTGTTTCCAGTAAAACCTGGAAGAAAGTCATAAAGTCAGACATAATTAAGTAACAAGTTTGTGTCAGTTAAGCAAAAATAAACAAATGAACCTCTTAATAAAATTCAAATGAGTGGGGTATCAGATGGTACCTGGCAAATAAATGTTTCAATTTTACAAAGGTACTTTAAACAGTCCCCACAAAACACAAAAATAAGTACTGTTAACAGATTGGTGTTTTTTTTTTTTTAACAACAAATATGACTTGGATTTTATTTCTCAGATCCATCCTAGTGAACAGATTGTTAATTACTCAAGTAAATAGGCTGGAATTAGGGAAAAATTTACAGCGGAAATGTTAGCCTACTTTGTCCTGAAGAGGGAAAAAGAACTGGAAATAAAAAATCTCATGCCTTTAGCACTGATCTTTCTTCCCACTTACAGTACTGAATTTCTTACTGTTTACTAAATATTGTTATCAAGTTCAAAACAAAATTCACCCCACCATATCTTTTCTCTTCTCCTAAAATAGGACAATTAACATTCTTCTTCTTCCTGGAGTCCACATTTCTATTAAATACTAATTCAACCTCGGATCACACCTGGCTCCCCCCTTTACCTTACTGTTACCAAAGTAACTGGTTACCAAAGCCTGTCAGTTCTTTCTGCCTCCCTAATCTCTCCTTAATCTAATTGCTCCCTTGTATTAAAGGGCCATCATTACAGCCTAATTGATTTCTTTACCTCTAAATTCTCTCCCCTCCTTTATAAAAACCTGATAATTCTCATTAGAAACTATCAGTGGATATCCACCAAATTCAAGCTCCCTAATTTGATTAATTCTATAATCTGAGCTCAATTTTACCTTTCTAACCTTCTTGCTCACATTCTCAGACATCTGAGTTAACTGGACTACTATTCCCTTAACAGGCTTCCAATCTGCCTATTGCCATTTGAGCTGCTTTACCTATACAGCATTGCTCTTTACTCTTTCCTCCTTGAAATACTATGTATCCTTCCAGTTCACATACTACCTTCCCTATAGAAACTCACCTACAATCCACTCCATTCCAAATGGTTACAATATTCCTCCGCATGCAGTAATCTGTTTATGCATCTTATAACACTTAGCACATTTATATGCATTTCTATTTATTTCTGCACTTGTTTTATCTTCCTTTCCGGATCTTTAAATGATATTCATCCATTATACTCAAAAACCTGTCAAATGAATACATTTTTAAAAACTTTCATTTACAGGGCCACCTGGGTGGCTCAGTCCTTAAGCATCTGCCTTTGGCTCAGGTCATGATCCCAGGGTCCTGGGACCGAGCCCTGCATGGGGCTCCCTGCTCGATGGGAAGCCTGCTTCTCCCTCTCCCACTCCCCCTGCTTGTGTTCCCTCTCTCGTTGTGTTTCTGTCAAATAAATAAATAAAATCTTAAAAAAAAAAAACAACTTTCATTTACAAATATCTTCTTAGCTTATCAACTTTGTAGGGCGAGGCACAACTATGCTTAATTTTGTTTAAATAAATTCAGTTATCGTTTCTTCTAGATTTGCTAAAATTAAAGATATTCTTTTTCCTAAAGAAATTAACAGAGATGCAAATAAAGACTAAATTGATATAAACGCGCACGGTATCATAATTTATAATAAAAATCTGGATATAAATTCCAAAAAATAGGAGAACACAAATTTTGGTACATTTAAATGATGAAGTGTTAAACTATCATTAATGACAACCCTAAACAATATTTTAAAACATGGGGAAATGATTATTATTTAATTATTACTGGAACAAATTGAGATATAAGAATATACTCTCAGTCTGTGATCACAAACATATATGAGTATAGAAAAAGTGTTAAATGACAATCGTGTTTATCTACACATGTGATGGTATTATGGTTGAATTTTACTTGCCTGTATTTTTCAAATTCTCTACCAAAAACATGAAATACTTTTAGAAAAAAACTATAAACTAAAAATGTGTTATTTCTGAGTAGCAGGACACTTAGCAAAGGAAAAAAATGAAACTAAACTCAGATATTAATAAGGAAATAATTAGGATATTTTAAAATGTCAAAAACATATTAAAGGACTCTAGAACATTTTCTACAAGGCCAACAAAAGCTAAACCAAACTTCTGCCATCCTGGAACTGAAGAAAAAAGAATAATTCCATGCAAATAAAATATTATGGTTTGAAGACTGAGCCACCAATATTCAAGAAACTTCCCTTCTTAATAACAGTAACTCCAAAAACACATTTATACACAGCACAGGTTTTTCTTGCATGTAAAGTAACTACCACAACTCATTAAGATAATTATGTATCTTAATAAATAATTATTGTCTTAATTCCATCAGCATGAAAAAGATCCATAGAAGCTGAAAGGAGATAAATCATGGGCTCTTTAATATGGTTTCTTTATTAGTGCTTCCCACTTTTCTACTAACACAATCCTAGCACAAAAAAGCCCTTATAACAATATATGAATACATGTCCTCTATTAGGTTTTCTTTACTATGTATATACCTATACCTGATATATACCCAAATACCTGATATGCTTTCTAGCCTAGGAAAACTAAATATCTATGAAGTGAGACTTATTTCTTCAAAGCAATTTTAAAAGTACATGGGGTCTGTAAGAAATGAACTTTAATAGTACTACACATTTGTATGACATATTGGGAACACAGAACCCTAAGAACACTTACTAAGGAGATGATGGAAACTAGACCACCTAAGCTTTCACCTACAACAAGGATTCCTTCTAACTCCCCAAACCGGGAAACTGAAATCTACCATATTCCTATTTTTTCAAGGAAAGTAAGTGGTTCACTACCAATCAGATAAAAAACACCAATATACCAAAGACGAACAAAAAACTAACTGGTTCTAAATCCTCTAAAGAAGCCTCTATTTGTTAGACTGCTCAGATTAGGCATCCATTATTGCCTTCTTTATGGATTAAAGATTTTATAAAGCATGAATCAAACCAATGCATCCTATAAAGAGCTACATGGCAGGCTTAATACAATATAACTAATCCAAGTTCCAATGTTGACACCAAATCAATCACACCTGGCAGTTACTATGGATCTCGGATAGTAGCACAGCAAAGCATTAGACAACAAAGGGAAATAGAATATGATATATAACAGAAGAAAGAGAAAAGACTAGGTATTACCATAATTTTTTGTTTAAATATGCCTCATACCACACAAGGTTATAATGAAGTACCAAAGTGGTAACACAAGCAAGCATCTTGGTAAAATAATGATTTATTTCAATAGGCCATCACATAAAATGGCAAAGAAACAAATGAGTATTTGATCTGCCTCAAATAAAAGATATTACTGTAAATAATTCTAAACATAAGAACAATTTAGTGAATAAGGTAGGAGACTGGTAGACTTAAATTTTCAGATTCAATTTATAGGTGTTCACCAGTCACCTGCTGTTTTGACAAGTTACTTACCAACTTGTGCTGCCATTTCTCCGTAAATTTATCCCCTAAGATGAGGATAATTCTTGCAAATTGTGTCACAAGCATTTTGAAAGGAACCATGAGTTATTGTGTAATGCTCTTGAAATTCCTCAGATGTAGGGTCCTACACAAAGTAAAGTATTATTATACATCTCTCTAACAGTAGTCATCTGCATTATGATTTTTTTTCCCTACCCTTGACACTGTGATTCTTGGACACTAACCTTCCTCAAAGTAAAGTGTCCAAAGCAAGTCTCCATTCCTGACCCAAGTAATTACTTTTTTCAAGTCTTCATATCATCCACATCTTTCTCATCCTTAGAAGGTATCATGAAAACTAGGAATTATAAAACATAATAAGCTTCTCTGGTATTATATGCTTTGGTTCAATAAGAAACATGTGGGATAATCTGGCAATTTTAATCTTCTCTTAAGTGAACAATTTTATTTCACATATTTATACATTTATTTTCCTATATTACTTTTTATATTTCAACTATATTTTAAGAAGTTCATTTACAGATTTATGTTTTATGAACAGAGAGCAAGTCAGAAAATGATGTAGCAAAAAGGCAAGCAAGTAATTACTGCTATGTGACCAAAATGCTTTCAATGGACTGACCCAACAGTAGAAATCACCATTTTGAGATATAGGAAAAAGAATCAATGCTCATGATCTTTACAACCTCTGTAGAAGAGTTGAGCATAAGCTACAACAAATTTTATACTACTGACAACTTTATCGGCTGCTGACTTTGCTAATCAAGTTAGTCTTCAGTTAAGGAATGAACTACATATATTTGTATTTTTAGTTTATGTTGGCATGATATTACATCTTGAAAACAGGACTCTCAACCTTCTATACAGTTCCTAAAATGACTTCCTTCTGAATTTATACATCAGAAGGGAGGAGATAATACATCTTCACTGTATAACATTAGTTATAAAAGAGTAAAATTTTAAGAGTTTTTTTTTTTTAACCCTCAGAATTACATTAAAATACTGATGGAAACTAGTTTCCTCCTAGGTGAATAAACATTTTTTTATTTTTTAAATATGGCAGGTGAAAACCTTCATGGGATAAAGGTAAAACCACAGGATTTAGAGAGCTACCTTAACATTTCCTAGCCTACTAATTGTTAGTCTTTTAATCTCATTTTACTTCAGTTTTCCTCATTTGTAAAATACACCTGCCCTAGCTACCATACAAGACTGTTGTGAGGATTAAATGAGATAATCTAACTGAAAGAACTCTGTAAACCACAAAGAAACTATCAAAACAATCCTTTTTAAGAGGACTATATCACATTATTTTACATATTCATGGTCATAAAATATTTAGTACTATTTCTAACATGAAATAAATGGAAACAGATGTGCTAAACATTAGGACCATGGTTACCAAATAATACCTATGATTGAACAGAGAGTGAATAAATGATCTTGTTAAAAAAAAAGTACACTTCCTATACATTATCTTAAAATCTTCAGAAGTGAATTTGGAAGGAAATATAAAAATAAAACAATTTATTCAGATGGACTGGTCTAGCATATTAAAGATCAGATATATTTTATCTGTTAGCTATGAATTAAGAAACTAAGAGCCACTAGCTAAAAAAGAGTTTTGAAAAATTCTTATGAAGGAAAAATACATACACAAGAGTGAAATAGATGTTCACGCCTCTGGAAATAATCAGAAAGAGCTAGTAGTGATAGCAAGGGGCATACATATACAAGAGAACGGAGATGAACATGGACACAATCTGTACTTCTGATGTATAATAAAGGATATGTGGTTCCTAAAATTTTCAGAATGAAAACCTCTCCCAATAGGCCATAGGCTGAATCTATTTACTATACTGTAAGCCTGAGTCCTTCAGGAGGTTATGATAACTCTCAAGAATAGCTTATCCTTAATGAATGAAAGGACCTGTTTCTCTTTCACTCCTTATTACAGAGTATTTAGTATGCTTATAAAGCCATTATCTGCAAGGAAACAATTCCTAGCTCCCTCCTTTCTGTATGCTGTCAGTTTAAAGCTCTGATGAAATGAATTATGTTTATTATATGGTCCTAGAAATTCAATCAGACTCACTCAATTAACAGAAAACTTTAAAACCAGTTAAATAAGAATTCCTTACCTTCTAATTCAGTCCTCAAACTCACAAATTAAAAAAAAAAAGTTAAGGAAGGAATACATTTAAATTATTTAAATCACTGAAGAATTATTCCCAAGGGAAATAATTTTAGTTAAAGACATTAGAAGTTTCCACTCTAACACCTGAAGTCAAAACTGAGGTTAAAAGAAAAGTCCCTATCAGAGCAACTACCTCCTTTTGAACTTTTACTTTCTCCTACCTCTGTAACTCAGATATACTTCAATGTGTCATTGAACCTGGACTTCCAGTAAAAAGCTTTTCTCAAGATCAGACTCTTCTCCTTTAAAACTAAACTTTCAGCTCCAGATTTATTTTCTGGCTATTTATGTGATCAGGGGTTGAATTAAAATTAAGACTTCATTTCCTCCCAGAAATCTTTACCCCACAATGACATTTCCCATCATTAAAATTTCCCAGTTTCAAGGGACATATCATATCATGTCAACCTTCAATCCTCTCCAGCTATTTCACTTATGTATGCCTTAACTCCCAACCCAGACTCCAAATTTTTCAAAGACAAAGTTCACGACTTTTTCATTTTTCTAGTCCGTAAGTGTACCCTGGACAATAAGGCAATCCTGAAGAGGTATTGTAAATTAGGTAAACCCATCCTCCCGACTTTATAGTACCAAATAATGCTTCCAAGATGAATCAATACGGTATATAAATGTCACAATGCAATCATCACAATGTCAACATGACCACAAAAAAACCTCTCCTGGGTAGTTAAGTTTCTCAGAATCTTACCTACAGAGTTAAAAGCTGTTAAAGACACATACTACTAATGCACAGTGGCACAGTGTCTACCCTTGTCCTGGACACAAAACAGATAGATGCTTAGTAAGATTTAAAAAATTAAAACTTAAGTAAATTTCAGTAACTATACTGGCAATTCCTATGTGCTGGCTTTGTACTTTTTACTTGTTCTGTAGCCTCTCAGAAATTACTAAAGCAATAAAGAGATTTGTTCAATTATTTCTGTGGAGCATGTTAAGTCTAAAAAAAAGCAACAGCCCCAAAACCATGAAAATGTCAACTTGAGGCAGCATTCCAAGCTAAGCAAAAAAGGTAAAGGATACATCTGCCTCTGAAGCAGTGATAGCAAATATATATCAATAAATTACCATTCATGTCTACACATGACAACCTCAATACCTACGATTATGAAATTCTGGTAAGATTCCATAAAATATTCTTAGTAAGGTAGAGTACAAGACAGCTGCCACTTTACCTTGAATTCTGCAATAATTAAACCTACTGTATTAAGGAACTGCTACCATTCATCCGAAAGACTTAAATTACAAATTAAGGCAGAAGGAAAAAGATTAAGACCCTACCAACAAAGAAAGGATGAAAACTATACAGTATTTCCAAGTTAGAAAGGTGAGGTCTGGCATGGTGGTGAGATGATATGAAAGATGAATAACATGCTTAAAATTTAATATCTTACTATTTTATATCTACATTAACCTCTCAAAAGTAGATTAACAATAGAAACCACTTAAATAATGAAGTGGTAAAGAAAAATAATTCCATAGAAAATACTTAAGTGCCATTATTTGAGTTAAAAGAAGAAACTATAAATCAGTACAGCTGCGGTCTTATCTGATTTTACCATCTTAAGAATTAACTTTTAGTAATCAAAATTGAGAGCAAAATTCACATAACAATATTTCTAAGTCTGGTAATATCTTATTTTTAAAATCTGTCTATATCCAGGAAGAGAGCATGACATGAGAACAAATTCCTCAAAATTCTCATTACACTAAAGATTATTTTACATTTGGCTTATATGGCTTATATGGCTACTACAAAATCAGGACATATAGTCACAAAACTTTTAATAGCTAGTGCAGCTACTTGAAAGTATGAAATTAGGGGAATAAAAGATATTTCAAACTAAACCAAATAAAATTCTGTATTTCATACAGAATTACATACATATTGTTCTACAATAAGGAGAACAATAGAAAAATCAGGATATATTTTAGGCAAATTTCCATCTTATTTACTTTTCTTTCTGATGTATGGAAAACAACACAATAAATTATGCATTTAAAACCTGCCAAGGTAGCTGAATAGTACTTATTACAGAGGACCTACATTCTATATGCTCTATACCTATATACTCTGTCCGAAAGAAAAGGTATCCACACGGCATGCTGGTTTTCTCTATTGTTTTACAACACCATAATATTCTGAAACCAAAGCTTCATACAATAAGGGTTTATAACAACAGTAGTTTAAAATAATAGAAACCACAAAATCATCAAGTACTTCGAAGCATACAAATGTAAAGGATATATTTAACTCCTAGTTTGCTTTTAAAGCTTGATAAAAAAAAATATGGGTTTAGGACTAGGGAAATTATTTGACATTTCAAACTTACACGTTATAATTATTAGAAAGAGCAAACAAAAAATTTTCAACTTACCTGGTTTCTTTCTGGATTTTTCATGACCTAGCTGTCCTAGATCATTACATCCACATGTGTACACTGTTCCATCATCCAGAACAAATACTGTATGTCTGAGTCCACATCCCACATCTCGGACCTTTTTATTTATAAAAAAGTCACTTTTTCTGGGCTCTAGTACAATTTCTTCATCAATTCCACCCAAACCTAGCTGTCCAAAAGATGCATTTCCCCAGCACAACATGTTTGTAATTCTTTTGGTCTTCCAGTTTCAATAAAAAACTTCCTTCTGAAACACTGGAAATTTGGAGGTATACCTATGTCTGAGGAGATACAAAAAAGTTAAGATGACTTCAAAGGAAACGATATATAACTGTTCTTTCAAGTGCTATGCTACAATAATTACTACATAGTAAACATGAGATCTATTTTACTACATAAGTATCATCCAGTTTAAAAAACCAATCAGTTGAATTTTTAAAAATACAAACATTTACAGAAAATTTCACTCAAATTCTTTGCAAAATTTAAAACATATTAACTAGTTTCGACTTTTTGCTACCTTGTGTTAGACCAATCTAATGGAAACATTAAGTACTTTGATGAACTTAATTTTTGCTTCACTTTAAATCATTTTATTCTGAGCAAGAAATAAAACATCTATCCACTACCCCCAAAATCAAGTATATACACAGTGAAAAATTCTGCCAACTACACAAATATAAAACCTTGCAATCTCCGTCAAATCATAATTAAACCTTTTAATACCTACCTCTGTATCAGCAAACAACTGAAGTTCTTATTTGTAACAGAAATAAAACCAATAATGGAAACTTTAAATTTCCCACAATTTAAATGATTTTCCAAGTATCCACACTAATAGGCCCTGGAGAAAAGTATGGTTCTCTCTCGCCAAACCTCAGTCTTAAGACAATCGCCTCCAAAGATGTATTTTACAAATCAAAATAGTAACACTCCAACCTCACTACTTATTTAATTTTAAAACTAAGTCACCATACATAATTATATACTCACAAAACAAAATATGTAGTTTAAGTATCAAGATGCTCCTCCAAATTCAACATTTTCTATTACGAATGGTAACCGTGACTGAAAAATATTTCTCCTGGGCAATCTGTATCGATCTATACCTCTGTGACAAGTATTTGGAAATGGGAAAAAATGCAAATAACCCTACCACTGCCGATTTTTCAAGAACAGGAATGGGGGATGGGACACGGTAGTTTGGTGGCGAAATCTGTAGAATTTTCCAGTACACTGAATATTATTTCTTCCCTTGTAAAGACACGTATCAAAAAGTCCACTTCATGTAAACCCACACAGACTTTTAAATACATCACGTTACTAAACAACAATTACAGGAAGTCAGCCTTATTCCCGTTGTTGTCACCCACATTCCTTACACAGAACCTGAGAAGTTTCAAAACCCAACTTTCCTACGTTCCGGCTAGCAATTGCCAAAGCTGTCCATTCCATGACCTATCCATTCAGAGAAGTTTGATTTTATTCTTTGGGGACATCAGAACTCGATGGTTCCCAAGAGTTCTGCATTGTCTAACCGTATTTTTTTTAAGAACAGACAGAAAAATACCTCCGATTTCAGCGCATGAGGTTGAGGTTTAACCATCCTTTTCTTTAAAAAGTCAGAAGGTATGGGAAAGGCGTGCTCTCGCCAGCAACAGGTAGGGGAATGAGAAGCACTTTATTCCCATCATTCCCTGAACATGCACTCAGATCAGCCCAGGGGAACCAGGAGAGAAATTGTCTACACACACCCAACCCCGCGGGCCGACCAGTCAACTACGGCAGCCGCCCGCTCGCAGCAGCCGCAGAGGCCAGTCGACAAGGCTCCGCACTTCGGCAGCCCTCAGTCGAAGGGAGGCCCTTCCCCAAGGAGGTGCGACATTCCAGCCCCCCCCCCCGGCCAGAGAGCACCAACACAGTCCTCGTCCCCCGTCCCCCGCCCCCCACCCCGAGGAAGCGCTGAGAAAGCACCCAGCGCCAAGCCGGCCTGTATCCGCCCAGCCCGGCCTGCCCCCTCTCTAACGCCGTCACACGCCCCCGAACCCACCGGGGCAACGACTCACCCAGCCTCTCCAGGTAGGGGAAGCCCAGGGCGACGGGGGGGCGGCGCCTCCCCAGAGAGCAAGGCAGCGCGGCAGCTGAGGCAGGTCTCCAGCTCCTGAACCCTCCTTCTTCTGCCAGTGGCTGCGAACACCAGGGTTCCTCCGGCGTCGGTGCCGCTGCTCTGCTGCTCCGCTGCTCCCCTCCCCAGCTCCTGTGAAACTTTACCAGGTACCTAGAGAAAAGCAGCAGCCACCGCTGTCCAGTCCAGAGACAGCCGTCAGCGACCCGGATGGAGCGGGCGGGGAAGGACAGGAGGCAAGCGGGGCGGAGAGCGCGAGGGGTGGGGAGAGTTGGGGAAGAGACGGGAGGAGAAGGGAAAGGGGGAAGGTAGCTACGCGGGGAGGGGGAGGGGCAGGCCGGAAGTGAACCACAGAGCACGCGCGCGAGCCCCCCCCCTCACTTCCCGGCGCGCGCGCCTGCGCCAGAATCCTCCCAGGGCACCTCGACTCGAGCGCCTGCGTAGTGTGTGCTTTGCGTTGATTTAAGAGGAAAATGCCAACTACCGAAGCTGGAGTTTGCAAAAGCGAGTGGAGGTCTTTGGCGTGTCTTGTAACAAAGCTTCGGCGCGCTGATTGGCATTGTAGTGAAGAAAATCCCTTCGTTTGCTGGTTGTCTTCCTGCTCATAGGTTCCCGTCTCTATTATTTCATTCTGCTTTTTTCTGAGGAGAATTTGAAGTGGCAGATAAACATCACAAATACGATTATAAAGGCGGGTGAAGCCTTTTATTTTACCCTTAGCCTCAACTGGAGCTAATCTGAGGATGCCAGGTACATTCATAGGAATGACTGAACCTCCTGGCATGAAAATATATCAGCACCACCAGTTCAAGCTGTTAGTGTCGTGATGGCTGCCATCATATTGCACTATGCCTGAAAGATAAACTTATACAGTGTAAGGCCTCCTTCATTCAGGAAAATTAAGCAATGCATATGACTGGAGTCCCTGCTTCATAAAAACGAAGTCTGGCTTTCCTAGGGCAGTCTTCATAACAGTCTCTTTAAAAGGAGGAAAACTTGAAACAAGCCACTCTTGAAATTTTGCTAGACTTTGCTAGAACCTGTGACTTCAGAGTGAATGTTGAATTTAGGAAGAATTCCTCAGTAAACCAAGTTTCTTTATCTCGTTGAAAAATGTATTTCAGATTAGGAAATGCCTGTGCTAAAATATGTATGTGTATTATTCTTTTAGGGCTGCCATAACAAAATATCATTAATTGGATGACTTAAAACAAATTTATTGTCTCACAGTTACGGAGGCCAGAAGTTGGAAATCAGTGTGGCAGCAGGATTGGTTCTCTCTTGAGGTCTCAGGAGAGAATCTCCTCCATACATTTTTAACCTTTGGGGGTTGCTGACAATCCTTGGTACTTCTTGGTTTGTAGATGCATCACTGTAATCTCTGCTTCTGTCTCTATATGGTATTATTCCTGGTGTGTCTGTGTCCACATTTCCCTCTTATAAGGACACCATTCATTGGGTTAAGGCCCACCCTGATCCATTATGACCTCTTTTTAACTGAATTACATCTGCGAAGACCCTCTTTCCAAATAAGGTCACATTTTCAGGTACTAGAATTTAGAGTTAAGTGTATCTCATTGGGGGATCCAACTCAACTCACAGCAGTGTGTTACAGAAACAAGCATAAAAATGATAAGATACTTAAGCAAAGAAAGCATAATTTCAATATTGGGAGTGGTGGGGATTCTAACAAAACGTACCTTATTCTTGTTTTGATAGCTTCATTGCCCTGGACTTTTGTTGTCTTTTAACCCTAAGGACTTGATGTCTCAATATATCATATAAGGGGAAGTTATGGGATCTGGGATCTTTAAGATATGTACTTGATATTGCAACAAATAAATACTAACATTTGAGTGCCTTAACATAACGAAAGTATATTTTCTTTTATTTTTTTTAAAGATTTTATTTATTTATTTGAGAGAGAGAGAGAATGAGAGATAGAAAGCACGAGAGGGAAGAGGGTCAGAGGGAGAAGCAGACTCCCTGCTGAGCAGGAAGCCCGATGTGGGACTCCATCCCGGGACTCCAGAATCATGACCTGAGCCGAAGGCAGTCGCTTAACCAACTGAGCCACCCAGGCGCCCTTTCTTTTATATTTTAACAGCCCAATTGAGTGTTCGCACTAAGTGATGAAACTGATTTCCAGGAACCTTGGGAGATGGAGGCACAGGGGAGCCTCTTAAAACCCTTGTTGGGGAGGTGCCACATACCACTTCGGCACCAATAACATTTGCAAAAACTACACATCTAGGTGCAAGGGGACTGGGAAACATACTACCTGTCTGAGTTCCCGGTACTTCTTTAAACTATGGAGGAGAAAGCATGAATTAGTAGACAGCTGTCTCTGCCACATGGATGCATCTCTGTCTGGAATATTCTTAAAGCTTGTTAAAAAGTGGAAAGGACATTTCTAGATGTTTGCTTTAACCTTATAAATCTATGAAACTATGGTACGAGATCTTAGAAAACAACCTGTGATTATCTTTAAGACAAGTATAGGTTCAGAGGGCTATTAAGATAATGTAAATTTGTTGTATAAAAGCAACATTAGATTGATGAGTACGGCCTCTGGTGCTGGTTCTCTGGATTCAGAGCCTGAGGCTACAGACCATCTCAGACTTCTGACCTTATATTCTCCCAAAGACACCTACAGACATTTATTAGTGGTCTATTTTACAGAAAATTACTTCTCAGTCACAATTTCTATAGATTGAGAATGTTAATAATCCACATTTCACTGGGTTGTGAGGATTTAATAAGGTAACATGTACAGTACCTTGTACCTGGCAAGTGTTTAGAAAATATTAGCTTTTTTTTTTCATGTACTACAGTACTGATTTAATCAGTATAAAATCGAAAGAGCTTTAGATCTGTAATAAAAATCCAAATTTGGGTTAGGGCAGACTTTAAAACAGCAGCCAGTAGAGAAGGGTTGGGTGGGGGGCAGGTGAACAGGCACGTTGGAACAACTTTGGGGACATGTAATTGACCACTGTCAAACCAGTGTAAGTTTCTTGTTTTCTCATGGAAAATATTTTATATTAGCTTTTATTATTATTAATATTATCCTGAACTACAAGGTATAAAACATTTGGGAAAGCACTTTATCTCACCAATAATGATATAATTTTAATTTAGGAGAAATGTAAAATACCTTTTACCTATTGTGTTATTTTCATTAAAAAAAAAAAATAGTGCCCACACTGTTGAAGGACCACTAAAATAGGTATTCATTCTGTCCCACTCTATCCCTTGCTACTTTCCATCCAGCCATACTGCTTGTGCTGGATGTCATCTCACCTCCTTAATTTGTTTCTCTACTGGTCGCCTTTCCAGTCTTCCTTGACCACCCTATCCATAATACTACCCCCCTCTAGAATCTTATCATGGTTTATTTTCTTTCATATCCATTATCACTACCTGATATTTTATTGTGTAATACTATTATATTTATTATATTGCATGCCACATTTTGATAAGTTTTAAAATAGATAATCAATTATATACAATCTATATATATATACAGCTGACCTTGAACAGCACAGGCTTGAACTGCATGGGTCCACTTGTATGATTTTTTTACAATAAAGTACTGTAAATGTATTTTCCTTATGACTTTTTACATAGTATTTTCTTTTCCCTCGCTTACTTTATTGTAAGAATACAGTACATAAAACATATACAAAATATGTGTTAATCGACTGTTGATGTCATTGGTAAGACTCCTGGTCAACAGTAGGCTATTAGTAATTAAGTTTTTAGGGAGTCAGAAGTTATACACGGATTTTCGACTCTGCAGGTGATCAGCACCCCAACCCCTGCATTGTTAAGGGTCAGCTGTATTATATAGATAGATAACTTTTGTCTCCTGCATTACAATGAAAACCCCATAAAGGTGGGAATTTTGTCTCTTTTACTCAGTGCTGTATTCCAAATATCTTTTTTTTTAAGATTTTATTTATTTATTTGAGAGAAAGAGAGCACGAGAGGGAAGAGGGTCAGAGGGAGAAGCAGACTCCCTGCTGAGCAGGGAGCCTGATGTGGGACTCGATCCCGGGACTCCAGGATCATGACCTGAGCCGAAGGCAGCTGCTTAACCAACTGAGCCACCCAGGCGCCCTATCCCAAATATCTTGAACAGTTCCTGGTCTACAGCATGAGCTCAAAAAAAATTTTTTTTTATTGAATGAATTTATTAATGGTGCTGGTAACATTATAAATTATCACAACCTTTTTATAAATAAATTTGACAGTAATGTTTCAAGAGCCAGTAAATTTCATTCAGCAATAGTTAACAATATTTGTTATGAGACATTGTACTAAATTATTTACCTGTATTATATCACACCTGCACTCTGTCCTAAGAAAATACAAGATGCAGTCAACAAATCTTTATTTTGAACACCTACTATGTGCCATGGTCCCAATTCTAATAGGAGAAATAGATAAAAACAAAGAGGCAGCAAATAAAATAATGAACAAAGATTTTTATTGTAATGTGATTTCTAATAGCAAAAATTCAAAACAACCTAAGTTCCAAAAATGGAGAAATGGAATGTATGGCAAGGTTAATCTTTTCATTGTTAATTTTGATAGAATTTGTCACCACCTGCCACCAAATCACAGGTTCTACCTCAAGGGGATAACTGGAAGAGCCTCCTCCAATCATTTTCCCCACTCCTACTCTCGGAGTTTAGAGTCTTCAATCAAGCAGTTACACACCCACATTTACTTCAGTCCATCCGGAGAGTTCTGCTCTTTTCATCCAGTCTTAAAGGGCCAATGGTTATCTCATCTCCTTGGTCTTTGACCTAGCTTTATGGCTTCAGCCTGAAATGTACATAAGGCAGCCAGGTCTTCTATAAGATTCTTCAACAAATCTTTACTGAACTCTTGTGCTGTCTTCCCACTTCTAATAAGATATATATATATTTTTTGTTGTTGTTGTTGAAAGGCCACTGTGATTATCTTTAAGTTAAGACAAGTATAGGTTCAGAGGACTATTAAGATAATGTAAATTTGTTGTATAAAAGCAGCATTAGATTGATGAGTATGGCCTCTGGTGCTGGTTTATCTGGATTCAGAGCCTGAGGCCACAGACCATCTCAGACTTCTGACCTTTTATTCTCCCAAAGACACCTACAGACATTTATTAATGGTCTATTTTACAGAAAATTACAATTTTTTATTTATTTATATTAGCTTTTATTATTATTAATATTATCCTGAACTACAAGGTATAAAACATTCGGGAAAGCACTTTATATGTGTATGTATGTGTATATATATATATATA